TAGAAGGGCCTAGAGCTTTCATGCCATCTTAATGTAACTAACAGCAGGTTTGCCAAAACTTGTAAGTCGTCTAGGAAAAGGAGGAAAAAAAGGAGGAATACAGCAAGAATAAAGAATTTCAGTGGAACACTTTTTTATAATACAAAATTCTGACAATCTTAGAGGTGAAAAAGCTTGAATGACATTCTAAGAGATATGTTTACTCTAAACTAGAAAGAAATTAGTAGGAATAGAGCACTTTGTTTATATTTTCTTAAAATTAAACAAACACTTTTGCAAAGGCAATGCTACTTTTTTGTTTCATCATTATTCTGTATATTTCATACATAAAGGCAGTAAATATAAGTGTCAGATTCATAATTTCATTTCAGACTTAGAATAAAAAGCTACTTATACGGTTATTTTTCTCTGTATTATTCAGCTAATTTTCCACTAGGCTGAAGTTTCTCCCTCCTACAAGTCTTTTTGGTTTACTTATCATATTTGGACTGAAAGTAAATTTTTCTTGCACTTGAATTGGGATTGTTTTTCATTGTTTTGTGGCTGATGTTTAAATGCAACTAATTAAAAAACACTGTCTTAGTTGTCAGTTTTGTTTGCACAACTCTCCTACAGCAGAAAAATCTAGATCGCCCTCATGAACCAGAAAAAGTGCCAAGGGCACCTCATGACAGACGGAGAGAGTGGCAGAAGTTAGCCCAAGGTCCGGAGCTCGCAGAAGATGATGCTAACCTCTTACATAAGCACATTGAAGTTGCTAATGGCCCAGCTTCACATTTTGAATCAAGGTTTCTTCTTATTTTTTCTATCCTTTATTAAGTACAGATATTCATACTACATAGTGAACATGCTTGAGAAATGGTAAATGATGAGATGCTACTGCTATTTTTGAAATGCACTGGAAATCATTGATTTAGCTAAATCAAAACTCAGTTTTAAAATACTTAGTGTGTCCTTAAAGGAGTAGTTATTATCTTGTTATTTTTAAGAGTAGTGTGTATCCTTGGAATTCATTGTATCCTTGAGGATGTGTTGTCATCTGCAACTTGAAGAAGGTGTAGTGTCACTGTTGCAAGCTTGCACCCAGGTGTGTCATTACATTCCAGTCTTGACCTACAAAATCCCTATTATTCCGGTCTCTTGATTTTTCTTAAGCAGATACTGCCAAGACTATATGGTGGGTGCAATGTGAACAAACGTCCACTTGGAACTCAGATGAGAACGCTGAGCTTCTCTTTACTCTTGAGCAAATCCAAGATTTGATTGACATTGCTGGTTATAGTCTATTACAAAATCCAACCTGTTGGATTCTTATTTCACAGCACGTATTTGCTGGTGGCTAAAAGTAGCATTTCACATGGTAAACACCTGCTATGTTTACGCTTCTGGTGTTTGTGCAAAACCAAGTCCATTTTACCAGCCAAGAAACATCTGATAGGAAAGAGGGCTGACAAGTAATATTAGGAGTTTTGGGGGTATATTTTTGGGGGGTTGGTTTTTTTTTTTTTAAATTAAAAAGTATTCATTGTCCTCCAAAAAATAGTTACCTTTTTCCCCTATCCTTCGCTAGCCAAAAGCACCATAAGAGAGTATTTTGTTTAGCTTTGTAAGGCCTTCAAACAAACTAAATAGTGACAGTGGATAACTATGACAACTCTAGGAGATAGTGTTTGCTGTCTGAAAAATGGAAAAACCTGCTTGTAAAAACTTATCTCCATTCAGAAAGTAAAAATGGTCTCAGTGCATTTCACTCAGTAAGGTACAACTCAAGTTACGGTGATTAGCATTTTTCTGGGAACAACTTTATAGTATCTTTTCTTTGTAAACTGCTGTGTCAAGCTGTTGGCAGAAACATCTGCTTTCCTGCTGTCCTTCTGTTGTGTTGTACATCAGATTCCACATTAGACACAGTTGTTGCAGGACTCCTTTTATATCCAGGACCCTGGCCTAAACCTTGATTATCTCAGTACCAATGCAATTATGAATAATGCTGTAGTGCTTTGGAGCACTACATGTGCAGAGCATGTTCAGATACAGAACAGCACCGTGCTTTTGAATAACAGAGTAAGAACTTCAACCCCAAAGAATTTAATAGGCTTAGATACTACAGTGGTGGCAGTATGTGGAAATGTAGAGTACTGCTTTACTTGTTGGAAAGTGTTCTGCAAACACATTTCCTCTGAATTTAATAGAGAAATGTTTTTAAAATCTTTAATTGAGTAGTTAATTAAAATCTCCTAACTGATCGGGTCTGCAAGGTGTGTCTAAAGTTGTCATTAACAAGTAAGTTGAAGCATCTTTACTTACTGCTACTACTCAATAATAGATATTTAGATTATTTTCCTTATATCCATTGTATAGCTACAAAGTATTAGGTCTAAAGTAGTGAGTTCTCTTTATATATTGGCATATAGATCCTCTAACAGAAGTTCAGCTAAATTACTCAGTTGTAAATTCTACCATTCTAACGTCAATGGATGTTTCATGAATGTTATAAAAGAATATGGTTGTATATATGTAGGGATTGAGGAGCAGAAACGATCACTGAGTATAATGTCTGCTTCATAATACACTCTTGTATATGTGTATTTCTGATTGTATTGCTATGTTTACTTAACTCAAAATAATGTGACTAATAAACACTAAGATCACACACACACTGTAGAATTTGTCTGATACACCTGTCAAAATCATTAAATCCTTGAGCTGCTAGAAGCAATGGCATAGAAAGTGGGATAAATTCTTAAAAACCCATGAAGTACAATATGCAACATTGGTGCAGAGAAGATACTTGAATTCAGAAATCAAACTGAAGTATAGAGCAGTAGCTGAAGGCACCAATACTTACTTTTACTAAAGGTTACGTTGTATCATTTTTCACTATCTTCCTACAGATCTCAAGCATATGTGGACCATATGGATGGATCGTATTCGCTTTCTGCATTACCCTATAGCCAGATGTCTGAACTTCTGAACAGAGCCGAGGAGCGAGTGTTGGTCAGACCAAACGAACCACCACCACCGCCTCCAATGCATGGAGCAGATGTGAAACCTGTGCCTCCTTGTGTTAGGTATGAAGTAATCAAGCCACATGCAGATATATTGGGGAGTTTTAGTTTTCCACCACCCCACTAATAGTCATTAGTGTTATTTCCATGCAGCCCAGGCAGTACACACATCCTAGGGGCTATGTCATTGCAGAGCCCTGACACACCTGCAGCTGCAGGGCCACACAGGAGTTAAAGGTTAGCATTTAAACGCCATAGGGTGCCATTGTGGAGACAGGCCTCACCTTGCCATTAATATTGCGACTATGTCACCTTCTCAGTTAAATGGCAAAAAAAATGTGGAAAATCTTTCTGTGAAAGATGTTGGAATCTCAGAATTTAGCTTTGGAATTTTGGAAATTTGGAAATCTGAAGATTGTACAACTGAGCTGTGTTTCAGCCTACATAAAAGGAAGACTATATCACAGTAAGACAGTCAGCTGTCAAAACTATATATTCATCACATTTGCTGAATTGCAACTGCTTTTTGTTGTTGTTGTTGTTCCCCCAGGTGTTTTTATTTTCCGTTTCTCTTTGCCTTTCCAGAACTGGATACATACTTAGAGTATTTTCTAGAATGAGGCTCTGGTTGTCACTCCCCTGTTGTTTTATACCCAAAATCTTACTTTATGGTCAGGTGCATACAACTTGGAATAGAGGACAGTTAATTCAGACACGGTTGTTACATCAGCAAGATGTTAGTCTGTTGAAAAGAATGTCTTTTTACTGTTCAGGAGATTATACACAGAAATGCATAAATCTTTAGATTAATTTTCCACAACAGCTGAAAGAAATCCTCTAGTGGTCTTTCAGGAAAATAGTTTTACTGTTCCCTTCTGTTTTTCTTTATTCATTGCACTGTAATGAGTAACTAGCATATAAATATACCCCTCTCTACATAGAATTGATGACCTTTGATACTAGCCTCACTTATCTTGTCATCAAACCTTAAATATATATTTCAAACGTAACTCATCCTCATCGCTTGTACTGTTTTGTTTTGTTTTTTTGAGTTCTGTGAATCGAAGCAGTTAATCAACCACCAGTTCCCTTACTTCAGAAAAATAATTTGGATTTACTTAGGGATGGGAGGGGAGAATTATACTAGTATAGGAAACCTTTGATAAAGATGCAGGTTTGTGTAAGAGCATAAACTCGGTTAATAGCTGAATTTGAGCAAAGGTCTGTTGGAAGACTGATGCATACTCCATACTGAGAATTAGATTTCCTTGTGTATGAGGTATGAATACCTTGAAATCATCATAGTACATAATGCTCTTTAATGCCCAGCGTTTGATATTCTTAAATTGCAGAAGTGATTCTATTACTGTTTTTTCCACTCTCCAGCTCTAATAATTTTGTCCTGGTTTTGGATGTTTCAGTTCTACTACTGGCTTGGTAGAAAATCGTCCTCAGTCACCAGCAACAGGCAGAACACCAGTGTTTGTGAGCCCCACTCCTCCTCCTCCACCACCACCACCTCTTCCATCTGCTTTGTCAACTTCATCCTTAAGAGCTGCAATGACTTCCACCCCTCCGCCCCCA